GCCGACCTGGCGGCCTGGCACATGCGCCGACCTGGCGGCCTGGCCCAGGATTTGTGCGTTGACTGCAAATGCTGAGATAAGTCTTTGTTGTTGGTTCATTGATGAATTGTTGCACCACAGGATTTGTGCCGCTGACAACAGATTATGGTACACCCTTGTGAGTCAAAACAGGTCACATAAGTGAGCCAAAAGAAAGAAATAGGATTAATGCAGCTCTTTTGGGCTCTAAAGGAGCAGCATTATAAGGAGTTATTGTCCATGGAAACTGCAATGGATACCTTATCAATCTTGAACCAGAAACAGAATTTTCTGCTTTTTCTGCAAAATTTATGCATTTTTATCAAAATTTCTATAATTTCTGCACTTCTCTGCAATTGTCTGGTATTTTAATGCATTTTCTGCACTTTGGTACTTTTCTACAACCTTTTTTTTTGAATTTTCTGCAAAATTTCAGCATTTTTCTGATATTTTCATGCATTTTCTGCATTTTTCCTGAATTTTTTCTGCCAAATTTCTGTAATTTCTTTATTTTCTGCAAAGTTTCTGCATTTTTTGTAATTTTTCTAGCATTCAATGCATTTTCTGCATTTCTGGTATTTTTCTGCATTTTTTGCATTTCCTGAAATTTCTGGTATTTTCTGCATAATTTCTGTATTTTTCTGAAATTTCTGGTATTTTCATGCATTTCCTGGTATTTTCTGCAAAATTGTTTTCACAATTGTTTTTTCGGCCTGGCATGTGTTTGGTTTGCATTTCTAGTATTTTAATGCATTTTTTTTTTTTGCATTTTCATCCCCGAGTCTATCCTCCTAGTACTTGTTCTTCTCCAATTGTGGCATCTCTCTCATGCACAAGCACAGACATGCACACAAACCTGCATATTTTTCCATTTTGTGGGTGGATTTCTGCAAATGTTGCCTAAAATTCATAGTTCGTGTCATTGTGTCCCAATCACCAGCTACCTTGGGTCCATTTGGTTCACAATCGGAATTGGAATCAGAATCCTCTGGAATCGTAATGATCTATTCCCATAGTCTGTTTGGTTCAGAGTCTTCAGACAAGAGTCGGAATGGGAACTGGGACAACCTGGAATGGAATTTCATTCCCAAGGGAGGGGAAGGGAATGGCCATCCCCTTAAATGGGGGAATGCCATTCCACCAGGAATGGGACTAGGTTTCCGATTCCGCCCAACCAAACAGTTGGAATCAGAATGGCCCATTCCGATTCCGATTCCAGACCCCTATTCCCGCAAGCCAAACTGGCCCTTTGAGTTGAAGCACTTCGTGATCATCCCTTATTATTAATTTTTAGTTTTACATTATTAGGTCGTGGGTTACTTGGGAGCATACAGAAGTTCCATATTTGAGGGGAAGATACTCTACTAGTTAACCGTTTTCTCATTTCTAATGAAATATCTGAGCCTTTTGTTTTTATTCCACATCTTTTGGAGAATCATCTCACAAACCACAATACGTACAAATATATTTAAGTAGCTATTTACGTCAGTTTCTTTAAGTTTACATAGGCCAACTTGAGGATAATGAGAAATAAGATCAGAATAGAACAAATTTGATGAGTTAAAGAACAAACAAATAGCATGTTAAGATCGACATTTAAACTATTTGTGGCCATCTACAGATATTAATGTATCACTGCTCTTCTAACTGTTGTGCCATATCAAGTAAGAATTCTCAAACCTATGTAAATTCTTTTTTGCATCTTGAAGGAAGTTTGATTGATACAGAGCAAGTAATTGATGAAAGAAGCAACCTCAATGTGCTTGCACATTGTTGGCCATTACTTCAAGATTGGGTAATCAGAGTTATATTGATGGACCTTTAGAGCCCCAAGCATTTAAAGCGCGAGTTTAAATTTCACCTGAAATTGGGGAAATTCTTTTATTTTTTTATTTTTTTTTTTGCATTGAGAAGGGATGAATTTGGATTTTGGAGGTATATCTGTTTATTCAGCGGTAAGAGCTTGGCAAGCCATTATGTTTATCTCCATGTAGACATGTATGGTTTTTTTTTCCCTCCTCCCTCACTCATGGAGGTGAGATCATTCGGTATATTGGGGCCTGGATGAAATAGAGGTTTCTGTTAGAGAGAAGATTTATGGCTTCTGATGTATTCTTTGGGTATTGAGTGGGTCAAGATGGAGTTAAACTCCTAGGTTGGTTGTGTGAAGATCCCTGTGGCCCATGGAAATTGCACAATCACATTGGGGAAGCTAGGTTTTCACATCTATAGTTGACAGCTTGTTCAGGTAGAGATACCAAGGTTAATTAAATTGAGGACTGATATCTTTACTATTACCACGGATGGAGTAGCAAAGAGTGAGTTATCAATGGGGGAGTCCTCATGTGGGGAGGAATGGTATGTCTTGGTCTTTGTATCATGGATACTCTTTGTTTGGTGTGCATTTTAAAAGGAGCTCTCTATCTTTGTATATTTGGTCAACCAATTTTCTCTTAAAAAAGTTCTCTGTTACTGATTTAAAAAGTTGTTGATTTGTTGCATAATGATGAGGTGGTTGTTTGTTTTAGGCAGCTCAATTTCCCACCCTCCTCAATAGGGATAAAGGAGGCGAGTTAACCTTTGGCGCTTCACATGTAAATCTCAATAGCTGTTTCTTTTAATGCTCCCATTCTTTGCAATCTAGGAAAGGGTATGACACATGTTCGCTCTTTCACAACTTTGAAGCCTTTGTAAGTATTCCTCATCCCATCTCTTAGTTGATTTCTATTTTTAATCTCCAGTTAAATACTTGTATTGAATATTGTCATCATATGTCTTAGATTATGTTTTAAGGGCCTTCCTTGACTCCTCTCCAAATGTTTTGTTACTGAAACAAAGTATTGGCAAGTTTACAATGGATGGTTTACTTGAAAAATGACTGGAAGTCTGAAACTATTCTGAGACTCATGCCTTTCTCTCCAAAATTTTCATTTGCCTGTAGGCATTTTGGAGCAGTAACAACAACCAAGTGCCTGAAGTTCCATTTGGGGTTCTCTAGCAGGAGTTTTTTTAGGAAAATCCAAATGGAAAATGGTAACCGTGATAATTCAAGAGGTGCCTTGATTGTTCTAGAAGGTTTAGACCGCAGTGGGAAGACATCACAGTCTACTAGACTACTCTCATACTTAGAACAACAAGGATTTTCGGTTGAATCATGGCGTTTTCCAGACAGGAGTACTTGTGTTGGTGAAATGATATCTTCTTATCTTGCTAACAAATCACAATTGGATGATCGGACAATCCATCTCCTTTTCAGTGCCAATCGTTGGGAGAAAAGGTAATTGTATCTTTATTGATAAAAGAGTAATCATATCTTCTTATTATTTATGCAGAGTTTTTTTTTTTTTTTAGATTGTAAAGGGGACTTCCTATCAAGGATACTGGGAAAGGAACAATAAAAAACAATGCCCAACATTGATTACTTAATCATAAAATAAGAACAATAAAAACAGAAGAGAGGAGTAATACAATCACCTGACATCTATACCTCACCCAAAAAGATTTTGCTGTACCAATATGTAGAGATACTATTTTCTACATTGTTCAAAATTCATCTATCAGCATGTATGCTTGATCTCACTTCTCTTCTTCTCAACATATCTTTCATCTTAGGGTTGCCTCTGTAATTCCTTCAGTAGTTTATGAGGCAAATATACATTTTCAGGCTACTTAGTAAGCGTGCACGTGCTTTGCATGTGACAATTCTAGATGATGATAATGATGGTAATAATATATCAAAAAATTTCTATAAATTTTATGTATTTTTTATTTTTTTATTATTATTCAAATGTAGATTGCAAAATTGAAATTTGATTACATAAATACCTCATCCAAATATGTGATAATCGGATTGAGTTGTGAAGTTTCAAATATCATTGACATGCTTACCTGCTTGGCTAGACTCTTCTTTTTGTAGTGTTTTCTCTTTTTGGTGTATCTTTTTTCTTTTGCTCATTTATAAAAAAATGTAAGATTTAAATAGAGGGAATTGAATGAGGTAAAAAGTAGTAGGTCAATTTACAATTTAAACCTTACAATTAAATAGGGGCTAAATTTAAAAAAATTAGTATTTTAGTCAAAAGAAAGTTCCACAATCTTATTTATATTGTTAATAATAGTGTAAATATAGAATTATAGACGTGTTCACTTTTTTCTATAGTTTTTTATTTTTTTTGTGTGTAAAAATAATTCTAATATATCACACTTACTTTTTATTTAGTATGATAAATATATGATATTATACATGTAACTGAATGTTTTTTTTTGCAAAATTTGTGTATTTTTTTCATTTATGTATTTTTATATTTATTAATTTTTATTATTTATTTATAACATTAAAGGTTAACACATTTAACCCAAAATTTGAACTATTTATTATTAATTTTTATATTTCATTTTTGGTTAGTTCTAAATTATATATTTCATTTTCATTATCAATAAAAATAATTGTTATTTATTACACTTATTGTTTAATTTGATTAATAAAAATATCATAAATGTGTTTATTTTTTCTACATTTTTTGTAATTTTCTATATTAAAATTTTTGTTACCTAACAATGACTTCGTTGGTTGATTAATGCTTAGTCACCACTTAAATAAAAAAATGGTTTTGTTTTTGAGTCAGTTTTAAAATATATTGTTAAAAAATATTGACATAGATTGAGTTGGGATCTGCTCCTCACAGAGCGTGCCTCACAACCACATCCCACCCTGTATTGGGAACATCTCCCCATGAATAATAAATACAAGTAAGGGAGATGTTCCTAATGTGTGACCAGGACATACTGTGAGATTGGTGTGAGGCGTGCTCTGTGAGGAGCAGATCCGGATTCACATAAATCTAATTAGTAGCATTTATTAGTGAAAAGATTTAATACCTGAAGTATAAGACTTAATGAGAGGGGATTAAATGAGATGGAAACTAATAATTGAAAAAGTATTAGTGGGGGGAATGTGATTTAATTCCTGAAGTATAAGATATTATACATGTGCCTGAATGCTTTTTTTTTGCAAAATTTATGTTTATTTTTTTTTATTTTTATATTTTATTAATTTTTATTATTTATTTACAATGTTAAAGGTTAACACATTTAACCCAAAAGTCGAACTATTTATTATTAATTTTTATGTTTCATTTTTGGTCAGTTCTAAATTATGTATTTCATTTTCTTTATCAATAAAAACAATTCTTGTTTATTACACTTATTTTTTAATTTGATTAATAAAAATATCATAAATGTGTCTAATTTTTTTTTCTACATTTTTGTAAATTTCTATATTTATTTTTATTTAAAAAAAATTATTACCTAACTATGACTTCATAGGTTGATAAATTTGATTCAGATGGTTGAATTGCTTAGCTACCACTTGGATAAAGAATGTGATTTTGTTTTTGAGTCATTTTTTAAAACATATGGGTTTATATTGTTAAAAATATTGACATAGATCTAATTAGTAGCATTTATTAGTGAAAAATAACTTAAAAAATATAGGATTTAATAATTAAGTATAAGACTTTAATGAGAGGGAATTAAATGAGGTGGAAAGTAGTAATTGAAGTCAAGGTTCAAAGTATATAGTGGGTGTATCGGCCGATACACGTATAACACGTATCGGCCGATACGTATAACACGTATCGGGGTCAAGGTTCAAAGTAATAATTGAAGTCAAGATTCAAAGTATATAGCGTTCAAAGTAATAATTTAATAATTAAGTATAACACGTATCGGCCGATACATAGCGTTCCGGGACCCCACTGATACACCCCTATAGTGGGTGTATCGGGGGTCTGACCGGTTCAGGGGGTAGAGGAGCCCTAAACCGCCCCCCTGAACCGGTTTCAGAAAAAAATAAGAAAAAGTAAAAAAAATAGTATCGATTCGCCCGATATGCCCATACCGGTGTATCGGGTGTATCGATATTTTGAACCTTGATTGAAGTTACATTTTCAACCCTTACAATTAGAGATGGATTAAACACACAAATATGACCATTATGGTAGCCGTTAAAGCTGGCATTAAAACTACATAAAATGACTTATACCCTTTCTCAAACAAAGAAATAGAGGGTAATTTTAGTCCAAAAATAGTTTCACACATCCACACTTTTATATATAGTATAGATATGAGCAAGTGATTGACTTGCTTGGTGAATGGGTGTTTGGGGTGGGTGACACTTTAATAAAAGGTTGTTCTATGGTTACAAAGTAAGCTTTTCAATAACAATTCTCATAAGCATCAAATCATTGTTGGGAAAGTCTACAGTTGAGAATGACGATCTGATTGATGCATAGGTTTAGTCAAATTTATGCATATTTTGGATAGTGGTGGAGTTTATTTTTGGATAACATATTACCAGAAAGTTATGTGAGAGAGTATAATTAGGAAGTTTAACATAGAAAAAAAGGGTGTCATATTTCCCATTTTTCTTATGTAGAGGATTTTCATGNGAATGATCAGATATATGATATCATGCTTTCACTTAATTGCAGTTATTTGGTTTATCCTTATACTAGAACAGATTATATCTAATTGATCCCACACTTGAGGTGGCATGGGGTTCCTTTCAAGGTAGCTGTGGGGTATGGAGATGTTTTTTAAGACTGCTTTTGCATAAAGTTGTTATTTTTTCCTCTTTGGGTTTTGACAAAAGGAATTTGTTGAGGTTTGGTCTCCTCCAATAAATGGTTGGAAGAAACTGAATTTTGATGGGAGCTGTTTGGGTAACCCAGGCCCCTCAGGTATTGGGGGAGTCATTAGGGATGAAGGGGGGAACATAATTGCTTTATACTCTGGCCCTGTGGAGCAGGGTGATGTGGCAAGATCAGAGTTTTTGTCTGCAGTTTCTGGGGTTGAGAAGGCAAAAGAACTGGGTATTAGTAGGCTGATTATTGAGGGAGATTCTAAAACTGTGGTCAAGTGTCTGGTTAAAGCCTTAAAGGGGAGGGGGTGGCATGGCACTTGAGGAATGAATTCAGAAAATTCAAATGGCTGTCACAGGACATGTTAATCCAAGTGAAATGGGTGAGGAGGACTGCTAATAGCTTGGCAGATAGCTTAGCCAAGCAAGGGGTACATAGAACACATATATTTTGGGCTCAAATGTATTACTGATTTGGGACAGCTTCTATAGCTGGTTCTTTTCACAACTTCTTGTTATAATCATGTTTCTCTCATAAGGGTTTATTGGATCAACCTTTTCTAATAAGGGTTGAATTCTGTATTTTAGTTTAATTTATCTCTAATGAAAGTTATCATTTCTGATCAAGAAAAAAAAATCATGTTTCTCTCATAATTAATGAAAATTTTTCTGTGTTGCTAATAAAAAAAGGTTACCTATATCTAAAAGAGGTTAGAATCCATCTGAGATATATTCTCATTCAGTTCTTAATAATATTAGCAGTGACCATTCAGAAATCCTTGGTTGGTTTAACCCAGCAGTTTACTAGTACGAATTTTGATCAAGATAACTTTCTATTCATGCATGGAGGTCTGAAGACTGTTTACCTCCAGGGTAAGGAATCCCTGTATTTACTTGAAGTGGAGGTGAAATTGTTGGTTATGGGCTTATGTCTTGGTTGAGTCTGTGGGTTCAGCATTAACAACAAATTTTGCTTCTGAGAAAATTAATAATTTTGATTATCTTGGTTTGATAGAAAGTAAGTGTAACACTATTATTATTTCTTAACATGCGAGGGTAGCTCATAACTGTGATCTCATATTGAGTTTGGTTATAGATCGAGCAGGGTTTTGCATGGAAAGATAATTGAGATCTGAACTTTTCACGCATTAATTTATGTTCTGCATTGTATGTTGATAATACCATGCTTGACAACAGCTAATATACTATTCTCTTATGCTGTATGCGTATTATTTAACATTTCATGTGGACCCTGAATTGTAGTTTTAGTTTTATATTCTTAATACAGCATGGATTTTTGTTGCCATACATGTAATTTATTGCTAATTGATAATATACAAGTCAGTCTTTACTCATCTTTTGTAGCCACAGCTAACGTATCCATTTTTGAACTGTATATGATGCAGGAGCAAACAAGTCAAAACTGAAAATTTCTGTGTTTTTGTATATTTAGTCAGTAGGGGTATTTCAGTCATTTTAGATGTTATCCATGGGGTCCAACATAGCACTTTGATTTGTTTAGTCATGGTTATGTGTCTGAAATGTCAGAGTCATCAGTATATGGCATGCAAATATGGGCTTGGATCTAATAACATATTTACAGTAATGTATACACAGTTATACACATTATTATATAATGTATATGCAGTTATTCCCAACCCCAAGCCTGAAAATCAAACCCAACCTGTGCAAAAGCTTGGGCTGTGCCTGATTGGTTTGGGTTAGGCCCACAAAAGTTGAATCTCTATCCTGTCTTGTTGTATATATCCTGCTGCCAGTGGGCCAGTTTGGGTCTGCCTGAACTTTTGACAGCCCTAGCCCCTATGTAATTGGGTTGGTTCAGTTCGGGTCTACTAGGTCTATCCAAACTATTGACAGCCCTGGCCCCTACTTGTATATGCATGTATCTGCCGCAGCTGAAATTTATTGTAATTAACTGTTCACAACCAACAATGATGTATAGGTAGAGAAGCATAATTTGATGGTTTTAGAAGTAGCACTTAAGCATCAGATATTTTGCAGGTCACTGATGGAGATGAAACTAAGAAGTGGGACAACCCTTCTAGTTGACCGCTATTCTTATTCTGGGGTGGCATTCTCTTCTGCCAAAGGACTTGATGTGGAATGGTGTAAGGTAAAACTTAGTTAAATACCAAAGAAAGGGTAAACCTTACTTTACCCTCAAATTCTTACAAAAGCAGTAGACTTCTTTCAGTTTATTAATCTTACAGAAGTTTTTTTTTTCCCCTTTTTCCCTCTTCTTTTCCCTTCTTTAAGGGTCCAGAGATGGGTTTGCTAGCTCCAGATCTAGTATTGTACCTCAACATACCACCAGAGGTAATTTATCAAAAAAAAAAAAAAAAACCAGCAGAGGTATCCTTTAGTTACTCTTATCATGCTTATTTATCTATTTGTGTGTGTGTGTGGAAGGGGGGTGGGGGCGAAGGGGGAGGTAAGGTGTCAATTTGTATGGGCAAGAGTTATTACCTTAGCACTGGATTTACCATTCGACTGTTTACAGTGGGGATGCATAACAAGTGTTATCAAGTGTTTCTATTCATGAATAAACCATCAATCTCGAGGGAAAAAAAGGCTTCATAGGGAGCTTTCCTGAAACTTTTTTGAATTACCAGTCACAATCTAAGTGTGCACCAAGCCTTACTGAAAATTGTATCTTCTGTGCTGATTTTGTTCTTGAACATGAATGTTTTTCTTTTGGTTCAGATGGTTTGACCACAAGACCCAGCTTCGAAAAAAAAAAAACATCTATGGAACTCTTAGCACCATTTGAATCTGAATTTCTGCATGAAATCAGGAAACAGAAGATTAGCAACATAGAAATATATTTTTTTGATAAATAACATGGAATTTCATTAAGATTTAAAAAGAATTATACATACAAGCAGAGGGAGGTAAACTATCTTAACTCTCCTGCAACCATAAAAAAAATTACAAGATTAAAATCGAGCCCACAACAAAGAATCCCTAGTCACCCCTTGCTTTGCTAGCCCATCCACAAATGAGTTAGCAGATCTCTTCACTCAGTTGAATTTTATCTCCATATCTTTTTTTTTTTCGATAATTGAAATGATTTTATAAATCAGCAATAAAAGTAGTACAAAGTCCTCATGGAAAGGTACAAGTTGCAACCTCTCCAGGCTAGTTAAGTACAGATTTCCGAATTAATAACAACTTACATAGAAGCACTAAAAAGAACTTCCCTAGAAACCCCCTGTTTGGCTAGAGCATCAGCCAAAGAATTAGCAGACCTACTAACCCATTTTACCTCAACTCTCATATTGCTGGTTAACCA